TTTCCTTATCAGAGCGATAAGATCTCTTAAATGGTGTTAGAGCTGCGCGCCGATCTTCGGTAATCGAATATCGATTTTATCGCGGCCCGGTGGCGTGAGACTTGGACGAGCGCAGGAAATAAAATACATCGCGCGGAAATGTGGTGAGTGCAAAATAAGAAGTAAGAGAAAGAAGATAAATAATATACAGCCCTGGTCATAAGAATAAAACATCCCAATAAATTGATGTAAATGTTTTTATATTAAAAAAATAAATTAAAAACAGTTTTATTGAAAAGTGATATCTATTTTTATAATAACTTCAATATTTTGTAAGTCTTCCTTCAGCTTTTATTATCACCTTTTCCAAGAAAATTCAATAAATTATGGGTGCTTTATATCTATGATTATACTTAAGGATGTATATTATTTATATATGTAATATAATATATATGGTAATATTATTATTAATATATACTCTAAAATATAATGTGAAAAGCAAAAAAAATACTGCAAATACTGATCGAGAGAAGTGTTAAACAGAGTGCTTTATAGAAACAACTCATTAAAGTTAATAAATGAGATGCAAGTGCAAAAATCCTTTGCAGATTGGGCTTTCGCGCGTGTTCCCCATCTCTCGTATCTTGTTCTTGTGTCTCGACCCTTTCCGGAGGAGAGCGCATATTTACGGCAGCTTTCGGGGAATCGTTTAAGCGCGAGCGCGCGGTTGAATTGGTCGGCCGCGATTTAAGCGAGCCGCAAAGTAACGCGTCGCAAACTAGCCAGTAAGGAGAAAATGAAATTGCGCGATTCCATTGTCGCTCGCTCGCTCGCTCGCTCGTCCGGATGACGTAGCCGACGGAATGAGATCGCGTCGACGACGGGCGAGAGGATCGCGCGATCGTCTTTAAACTCGGGCGTGAGCACGTCTCGCGACATAAGCGTACGCAAGGAGGGATCGCCGAACATCTCTCTCGCTCTGTAATTCCCGGATTTAAAATACTGAAACGTCGTTTGACCGGAAAGACCAAGCTTTCGTTTCGAGTTTTAGTCAAAGTTAAAAGAAGGAAAATTTAGACATAAAAAAAATTGTATTACAATCTCCTCAGAGACATTCGTCGATTCGACCGAAATAGATTATGCCTTGGCTGTTCTCAGTGGGGCTGGCTGCACTCTTAATAATTAATAATTTTTCATTCGGATTGTGACCGTGATGAGATCGGAAGCCGTCGTCGTGGAAGCTTATTTCGCGCGTAAAAATTCATGCGGGCGCCGATGGGTGTTGAGAAGTTTCTCGATACGTCCAGCTGTCTGCCCGAAGCTCCGGCTCGCCTAATTGTCCCTTTAATTCGCCTCAATTGCTTCTTGGCACGGTCGCGCGAGAACGATCGCCGCGAGGAATCCGACGAGAGGCTACGGACTCGCTTGATTCGCTCGCGAGACCGTGGTCTTGATTTTCTCGCATCGTTTTACTGACGTGCTAGGAAAATTGCTAGCTTCTTTATGAAGACTTTCCTTGAGCCGTCATAGAGTTGAGCATCTCGCGAATTTCGAAAGAATTATCGCAAGAGACAAAATATAATTTAGAGAAATAAATATATAAATATATATCATTATCAACTTTTTATAAGCAAATGCTATGAAAAGTTGAATGCTTTTCAGTTTTGAGAAAGATATAAGATTGAGAAAAGATGTAAGACACTCTGACAGCTTTGATCGTGAAGGCGGGAGAAGTAGTGATACGCGGATAAACTTTTTTTAAGGAAAATTGACAAAACGCTGAAAGCACACAGATAAAACTGTGTCAAATTTAAAAGTTACCCAAGCGCAACCGAGCGGGAACGTATTGCGGATAGCATGTCGAATTATGATATACGTTTATTATGTTGCAACACATGACTACACGCACGTGTCGTTTTCGCCGAGTGTCGTCGTATCACCCGCTGATGCACACGCGGCACAACAGCCGAGCGAAGTTCTGAATGAAGCGCGACGGCAGCGTGCGTGCGGCACGATAACACACCGAGGCCATGAGACTTTGACTTCGCGAGTGCGGGTATCGCCGATACTACGGGACAGCGATTCGACTTCGTCACACGACGTCACCACGCGTCCCGCGCGCGTCGCGCTGACGGCGTTGCATCGACGTTACATCGACGTGTTGCATCGATGACGGTAGGAGGGCTCGGCCGTTGCCTTGAGTTTCAGCCAACTGTGAAGAGGCGACGCGGCGCGTATACGATATACGGCGCGACGATAAAGGATTCAGTTTATCAAACTAAATCTCAAAGTCGAACCTCTCGATTTACGAGCCGAGGATATGTCCACATATAATCAAATTACATCTTGTGAAGAAGTTCGGCTCGAAGCTCGTCTCTCTATAGGTTTAGCTCAACAATATCCGAGCGATCTTAAGAAATACGTTTCGACGGTTGGAACTCGGGGGCGTGCTGTTTCGCGCGAGAGCGAGAGCCGCTTAGGCACGCAGGAAAAATATGTCTCAGCGATTTAATTCTCCGTTTCGCAATGCGCACGCGGCCGATCAGCCGTCTCCGTCGCAGTTTCCGTCGCACTTGAGCAAAGTCGCGCGCGTAACCGCCCGCTTGGGCGGGCCGTTGACCACGTTATTACGTTATTTACGCTCCGTATGGCATTTTGCTTCGCTTGCGAAAGCAAGTGCCGCATGTGCGTTTCGATACGCGTGACGGCGAAGTTCAATGCAGATACAGAAACGTTCAAATTAAATCCTTATCATATCTTATCGAGCGGAACGGGACGGTATTGTGCCGCTGTCAATCGCTGCACGTGGACAGATCATTATGCAAATTGTCACGCAAACGTTTTCTTGGACTGTAATAAAGGATTGTTTTTTTTTTAATACGCAATACATATAATATTATAGTGTAGAATAGCAAGTAACGCTTGAGTAAAGCTTTTCGCACACTGCGAGATACAGTGAAATGTTCTATGTATCAGTTACTTCATTTCACTTCAGTTCTGATAAAAATATCTGTTTTGTATATTTTTGCGTCTATTATAGACATTTAAGATTTTTAGAAATAGATATGCACACATGTGTTTAAAAAATTTTTTTCTTTATATCTCGTTTTCTTTATTTCCTCGCTATAATTTATTCGTTAACTAAACGCAGATATTTTTCTCGTCACACTCGGTTAAAGGTCAGGAACGTTCAGTCGCTCGTTTTCTATTTTGCATTAAATATACGCATGTGTGTCGGCAATCCGCGTACACGTATCTCGCGTGCGTAATACTCGCACGATTCGGGCGCTTTTACTATTTCAATTAACTGCGCTGCTGCCGAGTCGACGACTATTTAATTGCAATTGCACGTGCGTGTCTCATCGCATGCACGCGATGCCGGGACCCTGGTCTTGATTTGGCTCTGCAGCCGCGAAATGGCCCGTCTCTCTCTCTCTCTCTTTCTCTCCTCCTCCCCGTTATTACGACGTCATTCTGATCTTGACCCGCTGACAGCAGCACCAACAAATAAAAGGTCGAGTTTCGTCCGTAATAGCGAGCGGCAAGAAAAGCGCGGAAGATGTTTCTCTCGATTCCTCGATCTCATCGTTCAAAAATTACATCGTAATCGCTCCCGCCGTCTGCTTTGAATAATTTACACGACAAATTCTTCCGAGAAGAATGTGGCAAGACTCTCGCTCTGACATAGGCTCCCCGAATTATTCTCGTACGAGTGACGTGCGAGAATAGTTGCGAGATCGTATTGCGGAAGTAAATAAAACGGTCCGATTTCCTACGCAAATTCGACCTCGGTACGACGAAGCGTTATCGAATCTCGACGCAACGTTACATCGTCGCGTGACGCAGTTTCGACATCGACGGACGATGCTCAAACTCTCTCACTGTCTTCGAATTACACCGGGCAGATAATTCTCTTCCGAGTACTGCTGATCTCGATGGAACGACAGTTCCGAGGCGCGATCTCACGCGCAGGTGTTCGGCTTGCACCTTCTCGTGCCGCTCGTGCCTTTTAACTCGCGACATTATCGTCAATAAAGCAAGATGTGAGGTAGAAATACAGATATCGATCTAGATTTACTCGAAACACTACGACTATAGTTGCCTCAGATAAAAAACTAAATTCTGATATTTTTATATTAATTAGCTTATTTTTAAAAATAATTCCTCAAAAAATCCATTATTAACACTTCGACAGTATTCGCAGACAAACACTACATAGAAAGAAATATTTTTTCAAATTTAACAAATTTTGAAAAAAAATATTGTTTTCAACAATCATGTTTTTATCTGCTAAACAATATGATTTAATAGAACTAAAAAAATTGTACTCAAAATAACAGAATAACGTTTCATTTATATCGTTTCAATATAAGTAAATAAATGTAAGCAAATAGAAATATTGAATACAAATTAGAAATGTTTTTCTCTGTGTACGTCTGCATTAAAGTATATAACTGAAAACCATATCCTTCGCTTAACTTCCACTATCCGTGTCTCAGCGCCGAGTGCGAATTATAAATGGAAGAAAAAGTTATCACCGTAATTATCGAGTGTCATAATCCTTAAAAAAACACCAGGTGTACATGACAGTCGCAGTATTAACATATCACGTTGCGGACCTTTCCGATAATTCCTTCCGACGAAATTTTTCGCCCAACTTCCGCTCGGCCTTCCTTTTATCGCTCCACGATCGTCGGTTCCATGACCGGAAACCGACGGTGCTCCGGTGCGCGATTTTAGGCTTGTCACCGGCGATTCCATTAATCGCCGGCCGCGAGAGTCGCGCGGTGGCGGCTCGCGCGGAGCGGCCACTGATCCAGAAAGCAATCCCGGGAATTCGTTACGGAACTCGAAGGCGAGCTACTTTCCGTTCTCAGGGAGGCTGTCGGGTTATTTATAGCGTCCTACCCGCCGTCGCATAGGCTGCAAAAGGAAATTCTCTCTCGCTCTCCTTCTCCACCATCGCCACCGCCGCCACCGCCGCCGCCACCTTCGGCATCACCGTCCTCGTATGTACGTACGTGCTCGGCTACGTGGTCGCAATTACGCCTGTGTCTCTCCGCCTTCTCCTCGGCAAAAGTCCAGAGGAAGAGAGACCGCCGACGATGGTGGTCCGCGCGTACGACGCTGAAAATACAATATCTTCACGTTTTGCAAAAGTAATCGCTGGCAAAAGACATAACAAAATTGCTTTGAGAAACGGAGCCTCTTTTTCCTCCGAATCTTTCACTGCCTTTATGTTATCACCTTATCTTATTTATTATTTTTAATTTCGTTCAGCCACTTTGTCAAGCCACTTAAGCAAAATCGTTCGATTAACCCACAAGAAAATCCGCGCATTACTTATTATAAAATAATCTGACGCGAGAGATGGGACGAGATGATCGAGCGCGAGAAATTGCGACGGCAGAGAAAGAAAGAGAAAGAGAGAGAGAGGGGGGGGGATACTCTCTTAGAAAAGAGAAACATTTTAATCCAGAAGAGTTCGGCGGAGAGAGAAGAGGCATCTGGCTGATGTATCTTCCTGTTTCCTAGAAGCGCGCTGAATCGAGCGCGCAAGCATTCCCTTTGGGATAAACCATTGATGAATGAATTGCTTGTATCCCGTGCTTGATTCTCGCCGCCTGTCCGTCTCTCCCTCTCCTCTCTCCTTCTCACACGCGCGAGCGCGTCTTCCGACTTGCGAGATCATCGTCTGTAATGTACACATGAGTCACTCCCGTATGATAGTTTCCTGCCGCGGTGTTGCGTTCAGCGGCCGCTCCGCCACGACGCGCGGCGGACAAGCATTCGCTCCCTCTCAAGTTGGACTTCTCGGACTCGGATTCCTTTAACCGTGCGCGCGACAATCTGCTTCCGAATTGCGATACCTCTTGCGAAAAAGAATGTATATATGTATATATATATA